CACCCCCATATTCTGGCCATGCTGGCCTTCTTCTCAATTCCTTGAACATGTCTTGTTTCTTTCCTCCTTCAAGGTCTTTAGCTGTCTTGTTCTCTTTTCCTTTACAGTTAATTCCTTCTCTTTCTCTTCTTTCTCCTCCTCATTTCATCAATGAGGGATGATGCTATATTTCTAGTGCCAAGCTCTGTGCCTTGCATGTGCTAGACACTTGATACATGTTTGTTGTATGAATGAATATGGCACATTAGAACTTGAGTTCACATCCTGCCTCTGATAAGCTACATTGTCTCGGCAAGTTATTTGGTCTCTGTAGGCCTCAATTTCCTCACTTGTGAAATGGCTTCTTGTAGAATTCTCATGAGGATTTTCAGTGAAGTATCTCAAGGGTGTTACTTGGTGCCTGCCAGTCTTCAATAAGAAAGATGTCTGTGATGCTCTTGTGGGAGTATATGGATATCTGGGCTTCTCACTCTTCTCTTGGCTCTTCTCTCTGCTCAGGGCAGCATCTCATCACAGCAGTTGCTGATCATCTGTTTGGGCTGAAGACAACATCATGGTGAGCAGGAGGCATGAGACTAACTGTAGGGCATTGTCCCTGACTACCAGCGTCTTCCCTGGTAATGGGTCAGGGGGTAGGAAGATAAAAGAAAGGCAGCGTTCAGAATCTTCTGTGTTCTCCTGTTCCCCTTGAAGATAGGGTGGTGGGTGACCTTGTGTTTCTTAGCGGAAACACGAGGATGAGAGAAGAGACATCTGCCTTTGTTTAGGAAGACCATGGAGTTTGGAGCCCAGAGACCTAGGGGGTGAATCCTGGCTGTGTGACCTTGATCATACTACCTCTCACCTGTAAGATGGAAATGACAATCTCTGCTTTGCAGGATTTTTGTGAGGATTAAATCAGATAATTTACATGGACATTCTTTGTAAACCGTAAACTTTCTGATATTATTGTTGTCATCATCAGTGTCCTGTGGCTACTCTCCTTCTTCTGACAGGGAGTTAGGGCGACTCCGGAGTGTGATTGAGCTGGACAGCCCCTCTGTGACTGCAGAGCAAGTAGCTGCCATTGAGCAGAGTGTCAATGAAAAAATCAGAGATCGGCTGCCCGTGAACGTGCGAGAACTGAGCCTGAATGATCCTGAGGTGGAGCAGGTGAGGCGAGAGCCAGTGGGATGGCTTTGTACAGTGGCCCTCCCAGGGCTCCTCATCAAAATCCAGACAGCCCTTCCCTCTCCCTTGCGTTCCAGGTGAGGGGCCGGGGTTTGCCAGATGATCATGCTGGGCCCATTCGAGTTGTTACCATCAAGAGCGTTGATTCCAACATGTGCTGTGGGACCCATGTTAGCAATCTCAGTGACCTTCAGGTATGTGAGGAAGGGCTTTTGAATGGTTGGGAGAGAGGGTGTCGGGAGGGGAGGATCACAGCAACGCTGGCAGTGATAGAAGGGGACAATTGAGGCGTCCTGAGCGAAATCAGTCCTTTATTACTTCCGAGCCTGGGGAGAGGTCTAGGTATCGCCTACGCTTGGGTCCAGCACCAGTGCGGTTTCTGCATGTGTGTGTGTTTTACCTGCTTTGCCTCATGTAGGTCATTAAAATTCTGGGCACTGAAAAGGGGAAAAAGAACAAAACCAACCTGATATTTCTGGCTGGGAACCGGGTGCTGAAGTGGATGGAGAGAAGTTATGGAACTGAAAAAGCACTGACTGCTCTGCTTAAGTATGCCCCCTTTTGTTGCCTCCTGTTTCTCAGATCCTGGACACCCCAGGGCTTAGATTTCCTACCTGTAAGGCAGACAGAATAATCTATCTCTGGGTGTAAGGTGTGATCATAAATGATAAAGTGCTTTGGATAGTAAATCGGACACACACAAAATGGTTTATTCTTTCATGTCCTTTCCCCCAATTGCTTAAGAGGCCTACTCAGAATGTCCCCAGGTCCCCATTTGGAAGGAGACACACTTTTTTTTTTTTTTAAGATTTTTATTGGGGAATTGGGATGAGAGCAGTGCTGGGGAATTGGGGGAAGGGGAACAGACAAGTTGCTGTCGTTTTGTTCTTCAGTCTAGTTGTGGAGGATGTTGCTTCACTGGCCCAAGT